GCCGGACAATGCTTGACCGCAGCTGCACACATCATTAGAGGCTGATGCCAACCACACGCCATACCAGGCCCCAATTTTATAATACGCTACCTACCTACATATAATGTTATTTTTTTAATATTATAAAGTTGTCCTGATTAAGGCCGTCTTCTAACTTTTTGATTACAGGATTTTTTTTTCTTGTCGATTTAACAATTGATAATAATGTATACAATTATTTACAAAAATGTACATAGATATTATAATATAGAACAAATGATAGGCGCATAGAATAGGATAATATAATATGAACAATAATATAATAGGCATAATAATATAACTACAGTAAATATTTTTATTATAACTTTTTGTTTTTTTTTTTTTTAATTTTTTTGTCAAGTGGGAACATCACGGGGCGACGGAGAGTAGGCTTGCCAATTACTTTAAAAGTATTGCGCACTTTATGCTCGATTCAGTTTGTCAAAAAAGTCGATAGATAGATATGACGTGACGTGTAGGTTTTAACTGTGTGCACTTTGAAGTCTGTGAGAAGGGCTTCGTTACTGACGATCCATATGGCGTATTCTGACGTATGTTATTGAAGTGTAATTATGTTTCAACAGCAATTTTACACAGAGTTCTATTATAATACTTGGTTGAAATATTCGGCGAAATTCCGTTCGATGACTGGATAATTTTCAAGTGTGTATAATATAATACAGAATTATGTAAGTTGTAGCCTTAAAGGTACAGTTATTCCTACGATATCAATTCGGGTCACTTCGACTCAATAATTACGCATACAGTGACAATTATTATAGCGTAATTTTACCATAAATGGTTTTTCGCCGTGTAATGACATAGGTACGCACGTTGGAAACCATAATTTATTAACACTGATTTTCTGGTCACCACTATTTGACGTTTTTTCTTTTTTTTTGTTACTAGTTTTAAATTTGATGGCATTTATTTGTTCACCCACGCATTGGACCACGTATAACTATAGATATGAATTACTGAACGAGACTGACCCGTCTGTGTTAATTAATTGAGTACAAATAATATTATATTAATAACACAATAAATCAAAATGTTCTTCAAAATTTCACATTACCGCTCTTCATTGCAATATATTTATTATTTTGAAAAATGTGTTATTATTATATAATGTATTATAATAATATGTACATTTTTTTGTTTTAATACTCAAGAATGAATATAATATTGATTTATTTAACATATTTTATAGATACGATTATTTTGAACGTCTAAGAATTTATAATACAGAACCGTTACCGAAAATTATAGAGATGGAAAATAATAAAATATTATTATTATTGTTATTATTATTACTTTTTATTTATTAAAGTCGAAACCCAAATAATAGGACCATTGACTTGTGTTGTATAATTAAATTATATTTAAAATGATTTGTACAGTTTATTAATATCTTTCATGAATAATACATTAATTTCCTTTAATGGATTCTTCGTTGGTGCACAATGCATTGTGAAGGTGCTCGGGTTTGTTGAATTTTAGTCGGGCTTCTTGTGTGTCTCTGTATTTTGTGATAATGTGTTTGATTGACGTTGGATATATCATCTACACGTTTGGCATGTTGTTGGTGGTTTTTATTCCTTCTTATTATTATTACCATTGATTATTGAATTGTATATTATTATTGTATCGATAAATATTATGTGAATATCTGTCTGTATTATATTATATAAGGTACCCGAGTACTGAGTAGTAAGTACGTGTTTAAGACCTTAAACGCACAGAAAACCCAACGAACAATGAATTGATAAACTTCTTAGTCTGCAGCTTGCACAGTCGGATGCATGAATATAAATGTCAGACCGAGGTGCCAAAACTCTTTACTCGTATTTTTATACATAATATTACATTTTTATAATTATTATACTTTCATAAATTATATTTTCGGTAAAATCAATCATTCGCCAAAAATGTATACATAGGTATTAGAAAATTAATGTATAATGTATTTTTAATTAAACTTGTAAACGGTTACACTGATTGTCCAGAACTATTAAGCTTCCTCAATTTTAACTTTCCTCAGAGTAGAAATAAGTCTAGTAATATATTTTTTTTTATAGGTTCTCAAAGAACAAATTATTTTTTACCTTCATCTATCAACAAAATTATGAAATTCACGAAAAATTGATTTATTTAATTTTACTTCCTTTCAATATTTTAATAATTACTATGTTAATAGTTTTATATTTTAATGGACTTGAATTATTATTGTAGTTTATTGTTTGTATTATTAGTATTTTTTTTTTTTTTATTGATCTTTGTATAGCTTCGGCGACATAGGCCATTAGCTTTTTACATAATTTTGTTAATGTCTTTTTAATTTTTGGCTTACAATTTGATTACAATAATTGGGGGGGGGGGGGAATTGTTACTTATGACTAAATATTATGTATTAGTATTATTGTTAATATTGTACTATTATATATATATCGATGACTTAGTGCACACTTCTTATAAGTCACAAAATTGAAATTTTGCAGGAGAGCTATTTTAAATTTTAACTTTTTTGACACCCGCTTAACTTAAGCAATATTTAATCAGTTAGTTTTTTCTAAATTGAAATTAACTTAACAATATATGTGGTTTCCTTTTAATATATAAGTTGAATTCGTGGAATATTTATTTATTTATATTAATGACATTTTTTAAAAAATTATATGGACTTATCACTATGTGACAAAATAAATTTGGATAGACATGGACTTATAACTATTACTTTTTGCAAACAAATTATTATATTTTCTTTTCCTAAAACCTTAAAGAAATGAAAGAACACAATTGATTGATAAAAGCTCTTCCACGTATTCAAATAAAATAAAAATAAAATTTTACTATAATTGAAAAGTTGAAACATAAACATTTATTTACAAAACATAATAATTCTCACTTCTCATAAAATAACAAAAATTAAGAAAATAAAAAGTAACATATTTCCTTAGCTAAAAATATAACTTTTTACTCGTATCATAATAATATTATAATTTTATATAATTCTTTAATCATTTAAAATAATCGAATGCATTTATTCCGAACCCTGGATATTAAAAATTATTTGCTCTTAGTTTTTTCATTATAATGGTTCTTGAAATTGTGTACTAGGTATTTTAATTAAATGAAAAACACCTAGGTATTAAATACTAAATTGTTTATTTATATTTTTTTATTCGATACTACCCACAGGTACCTATAATAATGTCTTATCATAATTCATACAACAATATTAACAATTATATTATATTATTTTATTCATTTGAAATCATAATAACTCCAATTAACTTAATTTTATGGTATGAACCATATACCTATTAACTAGGTCTATGAAATGAACAATCAAAGCTCATCTACGATTGAAATTATTTCTTGATATGGGTACGATAATTATTTATGCCATAATATTAATATTACAAGATAAGTCATCATAAGAGTAATAAATAATAATACTTGTTACTTTATTAAAACGGGGATAATTATAAACAAAATAATATCACTGAAGTGGTTTGTAATCCAACACAAATCATTATAAGTCCATTTCTTTTAGGGGAGGGCACCAGTATTTTAGGGGCGCCAAAATTTTGTAGTCAGCAAATTTGTTTACTTGTAAATTATTACAATTTTATAATTTTAATTATTTTAATAACAGTTTTACATAATAATATAATTTGGTATAATAGTGTTATATATATATTATATATGTAATATGTATAGTATTATGCTGTTTGAAATTTTTTTAATTAATATTGATTTGCATAGATTTATATAATTTTATTTTATTTATTCATCAAGTACCTACATAAATGTGTTGAAAAAAACAACTTATATGATGAATTATAAGCAAGATTTAAGTGACATAAATTCAAATGTATCTTTCCGGAATCCGGAGAGAGAATTCAGCAATTACTAATATTTTAAAAAAAAAATCATACATTGTATAACAAATATTCTTTTCTGTGCTCAAAATCTAAAAGGTTAATAAGAGGATCTATTTCCCATATTTTAAGAGGGTAGGCTCCTTTTGGGAGGGACATTTTTTTCACCGGGGCTTAGGGGGCTCCAATTTTTTTTGCACAGGGACGAAAAATGTCTAAATGCGGCACTAATAATAATAACACAATGACTGATGAATGATGATTGATGAGGAATGCTACCTATAACCTATCTATTGACAAACGTATAGAACCCTTTAATTATATCTAAAATGTATTATACATTTATACTTATACTTAAAAACCATATCATAACATCACTCATTGGTTCATTATCGTTATCTATAATAATTAATAGGCTTCTTCGGTGCAGAATATTTGCGCCGAACACACCTTTTTTATAACCCATTTGCCCCCCGAAATATTTTTAATAAAAATTCGTTAAAACCTTGCATAACTGTTGCCAAACTGTGTTCTGGATATAATTCAATACGACTTATTACCTTGTACCTAACTAGTAACTATTGTACATATTATTATCTACCAGTTTTAACTATTTTTAATTTTCACGTTACACTCTTATCGATATTATATTATTATCGAATATCGATCCATTTTATCTTAATTGCACTTCACGGTACCTAAGTTGGATTCCTTAGACAATTAGCAATTTTATTGGGGCTAGAACAAGGAATATTCATAATTCCTATCTACAAAGTATTATATAATTTCGTAATATTATAACTTTATAATTTTATTGCATTTCCATACATTTTTAAATTCATGAATTTAATAATATGGAGTATAGAGTAATCTTATAATATATTTTATTCAAGCCTATTAAAAATCAACAAAAATCTTGTTGCTATAGATTGTAGTTGTACAGTACTAAAATATAATTGTTATATTGTCCGTCAACTCAATTCATTTTCTTATTTATCAGCTAACCAAATAAACACATCGTGGGTATTGCATTATAATAATATAATACCAGTGTGTTTGACTTATAGCTATAAAATATCATATTCCCGTGCGATCACGATGAGTTGCTCAGAAAACCAATCTGTTAACTTCCAGTCGACGGAGACGGAAGTCATGCAGAGCGTATTTGCCGAATTGCGCGCGGCACGTTTCCACGTTTCTGAACGTAAGTTGTTGCACTTTAGTCGGTACGTAACCGGACCTGCCTCGATCGGTTGCCGATACCGTTCCTTGGAAAACGTGACCGAACCATTCGCTATTAACCGCCGATACCGGTCCGAACCAAACGTGACCAGACCATCAGCGATTGGCCACCTGCAGTCCACGCCCGCAGAAGTCTGCACCTTACTTTGCCGAGGACCGAATTTAGCTGAACCGGAAGACACCGTCACGGCGGAACAGCCGCCGGCAGAGTTCAGCCATGAACCTTCTGACAACGTGACCGGACCATCAGCGATTGGCCACCTGCAGTCCACGCCCGCAGAAGTCTGCACCTTACTTTGCCGAGGACCGATTTTAGCTGAACCGGAAGACACCGTCACGGCGGAACAGCCGCCGGCAGAGAGCAGCCATGAACCTTCTGACAACGTGACCGGACCATCAGCGATTGGCCACCTGCAGTCCACGCCCGCAGAAGTCTGCACCTTACTTTGCCGAGGACCGAATTTAGCTGAACCGGAAGACACCGTCACGGCGGAACAGCCGCCGGCAGAGAGCAGCCATGAACCTTCTGACGCGGAGTCGATGGGCCTCGTCGATCTGTTCGACCTTCAGCCGGATGACCATGTGTGCCGGGAAATCCCGCTGCCACCAGCTGGCCCGTCAACGTCCGTCGACCTTGTGCTCGTCCCGGACAACGTTGTCGAGGTTCCGGAAGTCCCGCCGCCGTCAGACGACCGGACAACACGAGACGAGACCGTGCCGGAACTGCCAATCGTTCCCGCGGCGAGTTCCGGCCAGGCCGAACTGGAACCGGATACCGCCGACAGGGGCCGAGGTGACGACGACGCAAGCCGGGCGATGGCAGCCGTGGACGACCCCGCGGCCAAATCGAAAAAACGCACTACGCTTTGGAGACGGACCAAGCGAATCGTCCGTCGCGTGTTTTGTTGCGGCGTTTGAGCGGTGGTTACCGGTACGTTTCATTTGCAAGTTATCCAGTTGGCCAACTTGACGTGTCCCAAACTCCCAACTATGTATTCAAACTTTTTTTCATAACATTAAAACAAAATATGATAAATCAAAATGTGTTTTAATTAAACAGATTTCGGTCGAATTAAATACATAACTATATTGCCTAATAGGTATTACTTATAAAGTAACAAAATATTTTCATAAGATCCAATTAAAAGTTGTATTCACAAGGGCTGTTTTCTATTTAGCTATTTATAATGGGCAGTGTAATGTATTATGCAATGTATTATTTTTAAGTGATAATATTGTAAAACCTAATTGGTGTTTAATTAAAAATAAAAATAATATTTCGTAATAATATAAATTAATAGATTTAACAAAATAATGTTGTTCGTACAATAAAATATACTTTTAAATCAACAATTTTAATTCTCAATGAATCGATTAATAATGAGTATTGTATAATCAACAAACCATATTTGATCATTTCAAATTTTCATTAGTTGAATTAATCGAATTTCTACTTCTCAATCAATAAACGTTTTATTAACTATATATTAACAAATATTTTGTCAAATCAACCTTAAAATTGTATTGAAATAACATGTATATTTTTCTGAGTGTATGTTTTTCCGTCGGACAAGTATTTAACCGACTTGTATACTTTGATTAATAAAGTTTAAAGTTAATTGTTATGCTCAAATATAATTAGTCCTACATCTGAAATATTTTAACTGCACTCATATAATAAGTCCGGACTTATAACACGTAGGCAGTAGGCATCAATTGGGGAATACAAGTCAAATCTATGATAGTCTGGACATATGATAAGTGTGCAATAAAATAACTGTACAAGTACAAAAATTAAGGACTTAACACTAAACATTTAGGACTTACTACATTAGGACAAAAATAAACACGGCTAACTGCCATTCATGATAAGTGAAAATAGTAAATATCACATGAATTACTGGTTGTAGAATACAAAGACCTTGTAGAAGTAATAAATATAATTTAATTTTCTATCTATTGGTATCAAAAAGTGAATTATGGAAATAATGGACTTATAACAAGTGTGCACTAACCACTAAGCCATCGATAAATATATATTGTACTTGGATCTTACGATCCGTTAGAATTTAAATAAATAAATAAAAATAAATTTAAATAAATAAATACCTACAGCAATCATATAATATAGAGTGATTCACCAAGCATACTCAGTACCCACTCCTTCATGTATCTACCTAATTCAAAATTCGAATGAGTATTTTCTTAGTATTGAGGATAATACTAGGTAGTCAAAAATATAAAATGAACTTTAAATTGGATCTAATATTTGATTTTATTAGAACACAAAGTTAAATAACTCAAAAGCTACTCGTATGAATTAAAATTCAGTTACATCAATATTTTCAGAAAAATTATCTACTCTATAGATTTACAGGTTAAAAAGGGGTGTACTTAGTTTGAAAACGGAAGTTGTATCTCCAAATGAAACTAATTAAGTAGTACAAAATATCTTAAGAATTTGAAAATGTGGTCTTAAAGTATATTTAAAAATTCCAAAAATCAGATTTTGAATAACAGCATTATTGAAGAAAGAAGGGAGTGAGCATGCTTGGCGAATCACCCTGTATCATAATTTTAATTTCGATAAATATCCAACAAATACAGTGGAAGTAGTGCACCTAAAAAATGTTGTCGTATCATAATGAATCAATCACTCCATAAACTATTTAACAATACAACTGTTATTATACAGTTTATTATTATTATATTATTTGAAAGAACTACAATCTACCATCACCAGGATATGACTGGTCACGTCATATTGAATGGTTAACTATTAGCAGGAGTTCAGCAAAAGAGCGTGTAACGCCAAGTAATCTCAAATTTTGTTGGTTTTCATTGTAGGTCCAATAACCAGACTAAATTACAAATTCAGTTAAATTAAATACTGAAAAACATAATATTATCTACTGATATAACTCATATACCGTGTGTCCCAAAAATCAGGGACCACTTAACTAATCATTACCATGTAAATATTTTTCAATTCTGTTTTCGGGACATTAAACTAGACTAATGGATCGTAAATTTCTTTGACTCACAATGTTTTTAACTCATGTATCTTGCGCATGCGAAATAAAACTTACATTTTTTTAAATGGCAACCCGTAATTTTAATATCATATTCGGGTTCATCGATTTTTTTCAAGCCATTTTGATGTATCAACTTATGTCCTAAACCCAAAATTGACTAAACTAGACTACTAGAGCTAAGTAGAATTTAAATAATTTAAAAATTCAATTTAATTAATTTTTTTTCCTAACTGTACGTACTTATTTTTTTCTTAGTTTATTGAATAGTTTATGTCTGTAATTTCTGTAAATTAAATTGTAAATAAAAATGTATAGTAATGGTATAAAAAAAAATAAAATAGAAATGTTGTTTCTTGAAAATACAAGTTTAAACTATGTTATTTTATAATGCGTAATAATAAAATAATATAATAATTCATAAATAGTAAATAATTAGGTAATTAGTTTAATAATAATAATTTTCATTGTTTGTTTGTTTGTTTCATGGTGTTTAGAAGAAAAAAATAAGTACGTACAGTTAGAAAAAAAAAATAATTAAATTGAATTCTTAAATTATTTAAATTCTACTTAGCTCTAGTTTAGTCAATTTTGGGTTTAGGACATAAGTTGATACATCAAAATGGCTTGAAAAAAAATCTATGAACCCGAATATGATATTAAAATTACGGGTTGCCGTTTAAAAAAAATGTAAGTTTTATTGCGCATGCGCAAGATACACAAGTTAAAAACATTGTGAGTCAAAGAAATTTACGATCCATTAGTCTAGTTTAATGTCCCGCAAACAGAATTGTCCCCTGATTTTTGAGACACACGGTATATACTATATATCAGATTTTCTTTCTATTGACAAATAGTTACAATATTATATTATTATTAATTACTGTATGTCAGACACCGGTTTTTATACAGATATCTCAATTTGAATACACTTTAATTTATTTTTTAAAAATAAATGCATCAACAACTGTGAAGTCATTAGCATACATTAATTACATAAATTAAAAACATAACTATAGCTAGTTATGGTAGCATTACAATTATATTGGTATAGATTAATTTTCTACAGTTAATTACATAATATTTCTTATTATTATATTATTATAGGTATATTGGTAATGATACCGATAGTTTTGAAATAGCAGAGAACCATATTGTATTTTTTTTGTTATGGATATTTTAAACGGTATTGATATCAAAAAATATTACAGTTTTTTTTTTATTTTGAGCGAAGATAATAATGTATTGGTTTTACTAGTAAAAATGCAGCGATTTCTGTTAGAAAATTGTATAGGTAGGTACATAATCAGTTATTTTCAGAGTGTCAAAAAGTAAACGATTTTGAGTAAAACCTAAAGTAAAAAAATGTGTTTTGTCCAACTATATAAATAGATTCATAATAATTCTAATATCTCATGGTAATATACTAATATCATATATTTTTAATATTTAAACTGAATATAAATAAATGAAAGGTTTTAATGTTATTTTTATCCATTATCCGTATTATGCATTGCTATAATAGCACATAAACAGTTATTTTAAATAAATATCCTGATAAATGATGTTATCATAAATTGTAGAGTTAATCGTACAATTCCATTATAAAATACATTTTTTATTAAAAATGAATTTTAAATTTAAATTTAAATTAAACGATCAATGACAATAAGTTAAATTACTTTTTATTACCATAAATATTGAATTATTATGTGTTATGTATAATAATATGTATTTTAAGACAATAGAAACAATTGAATTTAACAATATTTTCAATGTGACAGTATGCATATATAGTATAGGTTCCTACGTGAGAAAAGCCTCCAAAATGGTTTGATAATGGCATAGTGCTACTGAATAAACAACTATTTAATCTTACATTCTAAATTAATAATAAAATAAGTAATCTTTTGTAATTAATAAATAATTAAATGTATTATTTATAATAGGTCCACCTCTACCACAGCGTTAAATAGTTTATTTCTTATTATTATCATTAACACCGTGTTATAAATTAAAGACATTTCCGAAAGCATGTATCACTGTAACTTGCCTAGATTTTAATTTTCTAATTCTTGTTGAATGCAATTAACATTGTTCGTTCGTAGTTTGTTAATTATATTCGTATTTAATTAATAAATATTGTGTTTACTATATCGTTTTAAAATCTATAGAAAATAGAAATAGAAATTTCGTTATTTCATTTATTCATTTTCAATAATCTATGAAAATGTACCTACATATTTTTAATACCTAGGTGGCTATAACATTTATTATATATGTATCTCAATCACACATATATGTGATTATGATCTATTTAATATTTATAATATTTTTTTTTTTTTTTGTTCTTAAATTCTAAATGTATGCATACTGATCGTAAGGGCTTGAGTAAAAATATTTTTTCCGACTTCGGTTATGGACATCGGTATTTATTTTTTCCTATTTCGATTTCGGTTTTGGCTATCGGTATTTATTTTTTCCGATTTAAATTTCGGTTTTGATTAACGGTATTGATTTTTTTCGATTTCAGTTTCGATATCGATTTCGGTTTTTAATGGTTTTAACTGGTATTCAAAATATACGTTTCAAGCCCTGCAGTGATCGTAGATAGGTTTAAATGTATAATAGATCATTGATTTATTCTTTTTTTGAGGTGCCATGATTCTAAGCGGTTGATCTGGCATATTGTTCTTTTCTCATTGTTAATTATATTCACTAAATTTGGTTAATATATATTTCATCATTAGCTGTGTTCTGCATGTTAGTCATGTAAGCAAGTAGGAGGTTATTACTTATTACCATCAAGTAACCATAGTGTTAATAACTTCATTTTGTGAGGCTAATATTGTCAATCTATTAAATAATACTATTTCATATTTTTTA